CCCCTGGCAGCTATATGATAAGGTGTGATAACATTTAATACGATGTAACTTGTTTTTTGAGAGCACAGTGAAACCCATAAGCAATTGTCGTACAAACGCTGTTGATGCTCATCAAGAATATCAGAAATGTCTCCTACTATGCTTTCCTTATTTCATTGCCTTTTGATAGGCTTAAAAATTAGTTACAGCTGCCTCTTGACAAGTTTAAAAATGGTTAGAGCAGTCAAACTTTAGCTAAACAATACCTGCACAACATACTTGGCCTTTAATAAAATCCTATCTAGTGTACGCCAATCGTTGTGGCTTGCATAGGTTTGTTTACACAAACGACACACTTTAAGATAAGAAAACTCGCTTAAAAAACCTTACCGATAATATGCACGCTAAGGATTACTTGCACATAAGCACTGACATATTAGGTCCCAAGCTGTCCCAAGTTGTGCCAAGTTCTCCCAAATTTGGCGTTGCGCAGGACACATTGTGGCCCAGTTACCCACATGGCTGACCCTCTCAACATAAATATGCGCTACCCTTTCGCAATTTGAATGCCCTCTCATGCTGCCGCCTGGAATGGCAGCTTAAGTCGGTTGAAATCCCGAGGACTTTGCGTTAAGACCTGCTCGCATGCAATTTAGCCAAAATGTACTACATTCAATTTGAATACTAAGCCGCTTACCAACACTAAAAGTTTGATGTGCACACAATAAACAGGATTTCTGGCTACAATTAGCATGTAAGCTGAGGCAAAGTTAAGGACATGCCCGACTAAAAGTCATCTATAAAAAATGTGAAAGGTCAGCCTGGCAAACGGAACGGTTGGAATTACATGAAGCTCGAAATTGGCATTGTGCTCGGGCTGAACAACCGCAAACTGGCAGTCAAAGTCGAGCCCCGACCCAGCACAATTAACGCACAAAGGCAATTTCAAAAGAGTGCGAATGCGAACGTATCCTGTGCGAGTGCAAGGACGCAAAGAACCAGCGAAAAGAAACGGATACTTATTTAAAATTTATGTAGCGTAATTACAAGCGATTTAGCCCATTGCTTGCTCCTCCACCTCCCACCTCCCACCACCCACCGCTCAAAGCAACCCGAATCATAGGCTCGCAATCCTTTCGAATTAAACAACTGAAATGCGAATGGGAGGGCAATGGGTAAATGTTTATTTTTATACGAAATGCCCACGAAGTGCATAATAAAAAGGGCATAAGAGACTAGAAGCATAATCGACAACAACATATGAGTTAGCAAATCCGATAGAAAGGGTGGAAAAAGGGTGAAAACATTTGCATCGTTTTTTCTACAATTTAAGACTAATTTTATTAATCTAGGCACTAGCTATTTGAAAATATTGATTCACACTTTGCGTAAATTACACCCCACTACGTGAAAATGAGGAGGATAGACAATCTAGGTATATAATATTTTATTGAAAAACCATATGACACGATGAATCCGATCAAACTGATGGATAAAATGTTAAAACTTTTGCATCGTTTTTCCTACAATCAGTTTTAGGCATATTTTAATAATCAAGGCATAAGATATTTAGAACATGATTCACACTTTTCGAAAATTCCACATAACTTCGTGAAAACAAGAACAAAAGATAGTCTGTATATATATTTATTGTGAAAATGTTAACTAAAATTTTAAGAAAGCAACTAAACCTGTTCAGAGTCATGTACTGGCATTCCTGTAACAACAAAACGCATTACAGGGTATACTCAAGTCGACTAGCCACGACTATTTGATTGCCATTCGTTTTTTAAAACACAGCTAGCACTTGGGTTCGTCAGTTAAGCATCTTAATGACGGCAGCATGAGGCAGACCGCACTTTCAACTAGTCTATAATTTTTATCGAATACAATCTCGGACCCCGAAAAAACCACAAAAGTCATTTGCCCTTGGCTGTAGCTTTAATTAGTTGGGTGGACGGTGTTTATTTTCGAGCTCGTAGTGTCCAATAATGAACTTAAATTATTTATACATGAGCCGACAACAAAAGCGGGCACAAATTTATTGCATTAGGCGCGTTTTAATTACACCTGCGGTAATACACACACGCAGCATACACAGAGACAAGCTATGGGATCTGTTCAGTCAAGTGCTGCCGGCTTGTTATATGTATAATTTAATTAGTGACACCCACACACACACACACACACACAGTTACATAGTCACATATACAGCCACAGACACCGCCCTGTCCTAATGATTTTCATGCCTTCGCATACTAATTTCGTTCAGGTAGCCCCCGCGCGTCGATCTGTTTCCTACTCCCTCCTGGTAAGTAATGATGGCATATTAAACCGGCATTGCCTTTCGCATGGCAAATAAAAAAAAAAAAAAAACAAAATTACTCAACATTTGATGCTAAAATTTATTGCCTGTGGTTGACTATGCAACTGTGGTTGGGTGGTGCGCACTCTGCCTGATAATGAGATTCAAATCGAATGCTGATTAATGCGTCACACAAATTGAAACTAAAACAAGTAGGACTCCATCTCGTGAACAGTGCTCGACTGGCCAATACCCTGTACAGGTGTAAAGGAAGAGGAAGATTTGAGCCCGTTTTTAAACTAGGATGTAATGAGGAACGTGAAGAGAATTTTCCACAAACCGTGTATGTTGATTGACAGCTTATAATATTTCTCACATAATCATAAATTATTTTATATTTTCAGAGTTTCGCAAAATCTAAACAATATTGTGATACAAGAGTAATAAGAGTTCCCAGCAAATATTGAATTCAAGGCTTCATTTTTAGTAACAAAGTTATCAGCTTTCGAATTCTAGTCAACTCTTGAGTTTATATAATTTTCTAGGGTATAATGATATTGTATTACCTCGAAAATGCTTGTTGATTGCCAGCTGTTGAATTGCACGAACGTTGTCGGTGCTTGGCAACCCGACAAATGGACTTTAATGAAGTATTATCTATTAACTAATACCAAAATAGATGCACAATTACACGATTGAAATTTGATTACGTTTTATTAAGCTATTACCCATTAAAAAAAAAAAAACGGAGAAGCTTTTAAGAAATTGGCTTGAAGTTTGTCAAACGTAAATATTATATTTGCTATTCTCATGGAAATGTAACAAAGTCTGACTTATGCTTTCTTTGTATTTTTATAAATTTCATTTAGATTTATTTTACAAATTTTATTAAAATAAATATGCATATTTACTTGTTTTATTTATTCAAGTATATTTTCCCACAAAAAATAGTTTTAGCTATAATTAATATTTGCGTTTTTTGAATAACTCAAATATATATTTTTCCACAAAAGTTTGATTTAGCTTTTCGCTTGATATGAAAATAAAATGGAATAATTTAAAATTTTTTAATTTCCATTCAAATAGCAAATATTTGAAAAAGTCTCGCAGTTCTTAACAGTCATGCCGTCTAAGCTGCCAAAATATTAAGAAATAAAAATAAAACGCATTCAATGTGCGCTCCTCTAAGCCAAAACTCGAAGTATTTACCATTTTTTACTTAGCGCTGGCACTTTTTTAACATGCTTCCCATTTTGGGTTTTCCGGCAAATGCCGCAGTCACTTTGCGCTAATCATCATATAAATGGTTTGTAAAATATTAGATAAGAGCCAAAAACTGTTAAATGTTTTGGAATTAAATGCGTGATTTACCCCGTTTGCCGTTGCTCTTATACAAAAAGGGCGGGCAGCTCCGCGATTTTCCATTAAATCCTTGAACAGCTAACGCGCTTAGCTGTCGCAACCACAGGGAGGGCATCCTCCAGACTCAGCCGGAGCAGCCCCCGTGGAGAGCCGATGTCGAGGCGAAGCTGTGGAACCATCGCCAGAGCTTATGCAAAAATTTTGTTTTATAAAATTTTCCAAGTCAAGCGCCTAATCCCAACACTTATTCTTATACACTTCAATGTCTTGCACTAACAGAGTGCTCCTGCGGCTGTCAAGGGAGCAGTACAAGAAGGCGAGAGAGGGTGGATGGACTCCGGGCTGCGGTTCGTCTTCTTTTGTGGGGAAAGCATTGAAAAGTTTTTCTTTTCTTACCAGGCAATATTTTATGACAACTTGCTCTAAGGGATGGGAGGACCACCGTGCCAGGCTGACTTTGGGGCGTGGCAACACATTGGCACATTGCCGAATTATACCACTGAAAAATTCATTCATTTCCTGCTTACTTTTCACCAACCCAAAGCCCACCCCCGCCCACCACGCCCACTGCCGCCTCCTTCGCAGCCACAACACTTTGTAATATATAATTAAGATTACAAGCGCCTTTGGTTTAAGTATTTTGAGGCTTATATTTTATGTACGTATATCTTAGCTTGACTGATAACCGAGCTGCCCAAAATTTATTCATGGCTGGCGGTTTCTGCTCGGCACGCGGCCGTTTTACAGCTTACTTGGCTGTTAATGTCAACCCGGCGAGTTGGCCCCTTTTTGCTGGGCTAAAGCTGAGTTCAAAATATCCAAAAATTTCATTTATCTACTGCGTAATTATTCAATCTAAACTGTGGGGCAACACTTCAACTTTGGCACTTTGAAATCAATTTCTAAAAAAATGCAAATATCAAGTTTTAATGAGTTCCTAGTGTTTATCTTTAGAGCTCGTTTTCGTGTATCTTTAAGCCTTGAAAAGAATAACAGACTCTAGTTATTGGAAGATCCTTAAATAATATTCAATAAGAGAAGTCTATCTACAGCCCGGCTTTGACCGTGGTACGTATAAAATAAATAAACAATCAGGCAATCCAATGTAGGATATTTTTACATAATTTTGACCAAAAAAAATATTGCCAAATTTAAATGCCAAATTCATTTGGATGCCAAGCCATGAAAAAAAAGACGAGCCTAATGAAAATCGGTTTAGTTTTGAACAAGTTATGGGGGTAGGAAATTTGGACTTATGTCTATAATAATCCGGCCTTGCCCGTGGCACGTTTAAAATGAATTATCAACAGAAATTATAGAAATCATAGGTATACATTTGTAATTAAGTACTTACCCGTAAATTCATGCACACGATTATTACCGTCATTCAGCAGCAGGCGATAGGTGAACATTTATATAATCACATTACTAAAATAAGAGAAAAGCAGAGATTATGTTTATTAGCCAAAAAGCTAAGCTCGCTTGCTAAACCTAACTTGAAATAGTGAGAAGTGCATGGAAGAGCATCAAGATGAAACGTACCAGATTTTAACATAGTCGTTGCCTCCATCATAGTTAAAGCCGCCGTTTCCTTCAATATTATAGCCGCCTTCTTATTTTTTTTATCGAGCTGCCGTATCCCCGAATATTTCATCCGTCGCATCCTCCATATTCGCTGTTTCCCCCAAAGTGATATGACGCCTACGAGACTTACATGAATTCATAAGAATCACGTAGTGGGGCATTCATGAAAAATAAGTTTTGTTTTAATTTTTAGCGCAGTTAGAGGTAAGCTAAGCAAACATACATCATATATTCATACACTATTTACATCAGCATACGTACATGTATACATACACGCATACATACATGCATGCATACATACATGCATGCGTACATGCAAACGTATATGAATTCTTTCATTTGTACATTTATACAGCTTAGCACACACAAGCATCCACACATACATACACGCACGCATACATACATGCACATATACATACATATTTACATACACACATACATACATTCATACATACATACATACATACATCAAACATACCTACATACTTGTATTCCTACATACATGCATACATACATACATACATGCATGCAAACATGCATGCATACTTATTTACGATCACACATAGACACTAACATACATACATACCTACATTCTTCATCTTCCAAATCTTTGACTCCCATTTCCACAGAGAAGGAATGCATTTTTCGAAAATTCTGAAACAGCAGTCAATGCATTTGAACCAAAGTCTTTGAAAATGAGTTGAAGGCCATTTTTCACAATTTTTCCAAACATTCGGGTGGCATTTCCTTTCATCACATAAGGCTTTCAAGTTCTTACGGTATGGGCTGTGCGTTAATCAGTAATTAAACAGTCAGTCAGTCGGGACAAGCTGTTTCATACATAGAGATAGATTCTCGAGAAACTCAACGGTAGTCTTCATTTAAAATTGTAAGACTCCAGCTCTGTATGAATTATAAATATTTTGAAATTCCGGTACCTCCAAAGGGCAAGGGTTTCAAGTCTACCAAGTGTATCTGCACAACTTGACCTATACAAAATCTATTTAAACTACCCTCTAAGCAGGATTTCTGGTTTGCAACTTGTATATAAAACGCGACGTAGTCTGCCCCTTCATTTTTTCATACAATGAACAATCTTAATCTCACTCCCCTCGGACTGCTCATTAGTCTAACAAACTATGCACATGCTCGAACTTCATTGTGTTTCTTTGGAGCTACCCAGTTTGAGCTGAAGCCCCTTGAAAACGAAAGGGGCAGCAGACCCGTCGCCAGGCTTTAAGTGGAAAAACTCTGCTGGCTTTTTTATGAATGAGCCCCAATGCATTTGCATATTAACGGCTTGTGCGTCTAATGTGCGCACTCCCTTTCCCTTCATATTTGCATAATAATTTTATGGCTCGCTGCAGTCGAATAAGAAATCCAGCTGCCTTTTTGGTATTGTTCGAGGCCAACTGGCAGCCCATAATGGCAATCCCCAGCCACCCCTTACCTGTCTAGTCAGCGCAGCGCAGCGGGACATGAAAAATGATGCAATGCAGGTGATCGCCTGACGACTGTTAATGAACTTCACACGTAACGAGGTAACCCTAGTCAGAGCTGAGCTCAGGTACTTGGCCTTAAACATGCAACATGCCAACTTACCAACTGGCCGATTGATACAATTGGAATCTATTGAAAAGAGTATAAAAGGAAATTGTGATTCTTAGTTTCTGACATATCTAAAGTTCGTAAAGCTGCCTTGCTTTAGACTAAGTGAATCTTAAAAATATTAGCTAAAGATATATATATATATAGTGACATATCCATAGTCGCACCCACCCTTTAACATAACTTAGCACATAAGCATAAGCACAATTATAAACATTTCTAATATTGTAAACAAAGAGCCTGGTGATAACATCGACATTGGTCAAGATCAAACTGTCCCCCTTTGGTAGACATAAACAATTCACCCTAAATATCACGCCACTGTCAATGTTCCCATCAGAGTACTATCCCACGCATAATTGCTGACGCAGCTCAAACTTCACTCAATTTTGACTCAAACTCTCTCAAAGCGAAGTTTGCTAAGCGACCGCAACAGTTAGATAAATCAGTTCATATTCGGGAAGCAAATCTGAATGTACTCAACAAAAGTAGCCGTTAAGTGAAAATAATAAATTGAAATATATTTTTTTATAGTAACCTAACGTGTAAAACTTAATTGGCGCAGCCGGTAGGATACGTCGGGAAAAAGTTAAGATCGCTAAAGGATAATTAATTCCCAGATCTAACGCACAATCGCGACCGAAAGTGTTGTCGGAGTGTAATAAAAATTTTCTCGAATACGTATCCGCACAAGAACCTTCGGGTCACTAGTAGCTTAATAATATTGACCCTTTGGGCAATAAAGCTACTACAGTTAATAACGACTGGATTTGCATATCGTTTGATCCCTGCAATACGTTATTACTGAGTCTTTTTAAGACACACACACAAAAAAAAAAAAAGAAACATTTAACCAATAATCCATCACAAACTTTAACCTAAAATAAAAGTGCAAAATCAAAGAACAATAAAGTTCAAACCTACAAACTCAAAACTATTCAAAAAAAAAGTGTATTACACCAAGATGACAATGGAATTATCAGAACAACACCTCAACCAGGCCCTTTCACAACTTAGACAGGTGCCAAGCTTTGACGGATCAACGGATCAACTAAACGCCTTCATTAAAAGGATAGATTACATCCTACACCTGTATCCAACCCGAGATGTTAGACAACATAGCATCTTATACGGAGCCATCGAATTGCAAGTCACAGGAGATGCTCAGAGAATATCACAAAGGACAGCAGCCAACACTTGGCAGGAGCTGAGAAACGCATTAATTGAAGAATACAAAGTGCAGACACCATTTGAAGAACTCCTTCGACGCTTATACAACACGAATTACCAAGGAAACGTCCGTAAGTTCATCGAGGAGCTCGAGAATAAATCTTTTGTTATATTAAATAAGTTAGCACTAGAAAATATACCTAGCAATACAACCCTTTATACAAATGCTATGAATAACACAATCAAAGATGTTATTACAAAAAAATTACCAGATAGGCTTTTCATGATGTTAGCCAGACACGACATTACGTCGACACAAAAACTAAAGCAAGTAGCTCAAAGAGAGGGATTATATGAAAATAGTGTTACTGAAAAACCTAAAAATAATAATGTTCAGGGAAATCCAAATAACAATCGTAGGAACATGGGAAATTATCAGCAAAATGCTAACCCAACCACCATTTCAAGTGGCTATTCCAACACGAATCAGAGTTATCACGCACAAAATAAACAGCATAATAAGTCCGAAGACAATCAGAAAGCTCACCACGAGTTCCAACAGAAATTAAGTCAAGGTAGATACCAAAATCCCTTAAACTACCAAAATCAGTCCCATTCACGCTTGAATGCACCAAACCCTCCGACTAAACGTCAAAGAGATAGTAACAGTGGGCAGATGAAAATGGATACATCCGAAAATTTTCATCAGCAAGCCTCGGAACAAACAGAAGAAATCCATTCATAAAATTGATTATGAATGACGAAGTTCTAAAATGTGTCATCGACACAGGTTCAACCATTAATCTAATGAAAACTAACCGCTTAAATTTTCCAGTTTACAACGAAACATTAAAGGTTCACACCATAAATGGTGTTATTGAATTAAAACAAAGTATACGATTAGGAGCAAGCAAAATTTGTCCGAGCAAACAAAAATTCTATATTCACGACTTCTCAGAGCATTATGATGTTCTGATTGGGAGAGAATACCTTGAGGCATGTCAAGCAAAAATAGACTATGCACAAGGATCCGTAACCTTAGGAGAATTTAACTTTTGTTTTAGATATAACGACGAAGAGGTCGAAGAGGACATGACCGCACAAGAGTGCCTTGATCCACCCTCAACAGAGGACAGACCATTTAACTTCGCTATTAATAATGAATTAATAGAAAACAATGAGTTTAGGCTAGAGCACCTAAACTCAGAAGAAAAAGAAAAAATAAAAAAAGTTTTACATGAATTTCGTGATATCCAGTACCATGAAGGTGACAATTTGACTTTCACTAGTACAATTAAACACAAAATTCTAACAAAACATGAGGACCCAATTTACAAGCGTCCATACAAATATCCTCAAATATACGATGAGGAAGTAAATAAACAAATAAGCGATATGATAAAACAAAATATCATACGTAAATCCAAATCCCCTTACTGCTCACCAGTAATAATCGTTCCAAAGAAAAACGATGCATCTGGAAAGCAAAAGTTCCGGTTAGTCATAGATTACCGCAATCTCAATGAACTAACTATTAATGATAAATACCCTATCCCGATCATGGATGAAATATTAGACAAACTTGGAAAATGTCAATATTTCACAACCATTGATCTAGCCAAAGGCTTTCACCAAATCCAAATGGATCCTGGTTCAATACCCAAGACCGCATTTTCGACTAAACATGGCCATTACGAGTACACTCGCATGCCATTTGGTCTTAAGAATGCACCTGCAACGTTCCAACGTTGTATGAACAATCTCTTAGAAGATTTAATTTTTAAAGATTGTCTGGTCTACTTAGACGACATTATTATTTTTTCCACTTCATTGGAGGAACACATTTTGTCGCTACAAAAGGTATTTAAGAAGCTTAGAGAAGCTAACTTAAAACTACAGTTGGATAAATGCGAGTTTATGAGAAAAGAAACTGAATTTCTCGGTCACATCATCACAACTGAGGGTATAAAACCAAATCCCAACAAGATACAAGCAATTGTCAAATTCCCAATTCCAAAAACCCCAAAAGAAATTAAATCATTTCTAGGATTATGTGGTTTCTATAGGAAATTTATACCAAATTTCGCTAATATAGTAAAACCATTAACACTTAAATTAAAAAAGGGAGCAAAAATCAATATAAAAGACAGAGACTACGAACTAGCGTTTGAAAAGCTAAAAGTACTCATAACATCCGACCCAATTTTAATATACCCTAACTTCGAAAAACCATTTTCATTAACTACAGACGCAAGTAATATGGCAATAGGGGCCGTCCTTTCGCAAGAGCATAAGCCTATATGCTATGCAAGTAGAACTCTCAACGAGCATGAGTTAAATTATTCAACGATTGAAAAAGAATTATTAGCAATCGTTTGGGCCACTAAATACTTTAGGTCCTATCTCTTTGGTCGACAATTTCAAATCCTTAGTGATCACAGACCACTCGTCTGGTTAAATAATATGAAAGAACCTAACATGAAATTACAAAGGTGGAAGATCAAGCTAAATGAGTTTGATTTCCAAATTAAATACGTCCCAGGAAAAGAAAATTATGTGGCAGATGCTCTGTCCAGAATTCAATTAAACGAAAACTTCTTAGGCGAAGATACAATTAGCACAAGAGCAACAATACATAGTGCTCAAGAAGACAACAGTAACCATTTACAAATCACAGAAAGACCACTTAATTATTATAATCGACAAATAGAATTTGAAAAAGGAACCGAGAACGAAACAAAAGTTACGAATTACTTTCACAAAACCAACATAAAAATTACGTACAAAGACATGACTAATACGCATGCCAAAGAATTAATAAAAGAATACTTATGCACAAAGAAAAGTGTGCTATACTTCCACAACGAAGCAGATTTTCCAATTTTTCAAGAAGCCTACTTAGAAATAATAAGTCCGAATAATTCAACAAAGGCAATGAAAACTAGTACAAAATTAATAGACCTTCAAACATATGCAGAATTCAAAGAATTAATATTAAAAAAGCACAAAGAATTATTACATCCAGGAATTGAAAAAACTATCAATTGGTTCAAAGAAACCCACTATTTCCCAGATTATCAAAATTTAATTCAAAATCTAATAAATGAATGTGAGATTTGCAACATCGCAAAAACAGAACACAGAGATACAAAATTAACTTTCGAAATAACTCCGGAAATCGCTAATATCCGAGAAAAATATGTAATGGATTTTTACATAGTAGGAGATAAACAATTTTTATCTTGCATTGATATCTATTCAAAATTTGCATCATTAATAGAAATAAAAAGTAGAGACTGGCTAGAAACCAAACGAGCTATATTACAAGTGTTCAACCAAATGGGTAAACCCATCGAAATAAAGGCAGACAAAGACTCAGCTTTTATGTGCACAGCTTTACAATTATGGCTAAAATCAGAAGCAGTAAATATTAATATAACCACTAGTAAAAATGGTATATCCGACGTAGAACGATTTCATAAGACAGTTAACGAAAAACTAAGAATCATTAACAGCGACTCAGACGTCGAAAATAAACTTACAAAATTTGAAACTATACTCTACACGTACAATCATAAAACAAAGCACAAAACGACTAACAGAACACCAGCGGACATATTCATATATGCAGGTACACCAGAGTATGACACTCAAGCTAATAAAGAAAAACTAATAAA